AGAACAATTGCCAATCAGTGGAATCAAGGAAAGCTTCATGGAAAAGGTGGCATCTGAATTGAATCTTGACCAATAGGTAAGATTTCAATAGGTTAAAATGAGGAGTAGAGAGGGGGAAAGCTATTTCAGACAGAGGGAATAGTATGAACAAAGACAAAGAAAAAGCAAAACAAAACAGCATGGAGATTATATACATATGAATAGTAGCTAGTAGCTCATTTTGACTGGAGTTGAATACATGAAGGCAATTAGATTGAGATTAGACTCAAAAGGTAGGTTGGGCCTTGAATGTCAAATTAAGAATCTGGATTTTATTTGTTAGGCAGTACCATTAAAAAAAAAAAGTTTGTTAGCAAGTTCCATCCTCTTAAAGGGTTCTGAGATGAGATCTGTACACAAGAAATATTAACATGTCAGCAACATGAAATATTTCAATTCGACTAAATGAACATTTTTCTACTGGTTGCCATGTTCTGAGAGGTGATTTGGGCAGAGTGAATAGAAAAATAAGCCTTAAAGTCAGAAGGATCAAGGTGTAAGTCCTGATTCTGACCCACTGGTTTCATGAGCCTGGGAACATCACTTGACTTAGTGGCAACTCTCTAAGACTGTAAGTTTCAGAGCAGCTGTTGACCGGCATTAGTAGAAGGAATTTCCTCACTTGGGAGTTCTCTAACCTACTGAAATCAAAGGTGCAGGCTCCATCCCTAGAGTGCTATCACTACAAAGGCTCAACTGTACCAGTCCCTGACATTGAGGAAATCACATTTTACTGAGGGGCTACCAAACATACCAAGAGAGGTAAACAGAAGGTAATTTGAGGAGAGAGTTAGCAATAAAAATTCAAGAAAACAGGGAAGGTTTCACAGGGAAGTGAGCTAAGCTGAGTTCATCTGAACTGAGCCTTGAAGGAAGAGAAGGATTCTGAGAAGCAAAGATGAAAAGGGAGTACATTTCAAGCAAATGCCTGAAGGATAGAGATGGACAATCAAATACAGGGAAGAATCAGTAATAGAGTTTGGCTAAACACAAATGTGTGAAAGGGAGCAATGTAAGATTAGCTTGGAAAAATAGATCAGGGCCATATTCTGGAAGGCTTTAAATACCAGGTACTTTAAATACCATGTATGTATGCATGCATATGTGCATGTATACAATGCATACATGTATGGCATTTAAGGTATTATATATATATATACACACATGTATTTGTGCATGCTTACATGCATAATATATTGTTTTGTATAATGATCATCATATGAAAGCTATAACAATATAACTATGGAAGTTATAACAATAAATGTGAAAATTCAAGAGAGTGATATATAAATTGACAATAGAAATGGATTATAATACTAGAATCAAAAGAGAAGTACAATACTCATGTAATAGGCAGCATGGTACAGTGGATAGATTGCTGGATTAGGGGTCTGGAAGACCTTGGGTTCAAGTCCTGCTTCAGATACTTGCTACCTATGTGACCCTGGGCAAGTCATTTAAACTTCCTGGTTCTCAGTTTCCTCATCTCTAAAATGAGATGAGGTGGGCAGAGTTTGGGCTTTATGACTGCTAAAATCCTTCTCCACTATAAATCTATGATCCTGTTTCTTTCAGTTGCAAACCTACATTTCCAACTGCCTACTGGAGAAATCTACCAGGAAGTCCCACTACCTTCTCACTGAAAACACATCCAAAAATAAATCCATTGTCCTTCCCCCAAACTTGCTCTTCCTTTTGATTTCCATAATTGTTGTCGATGGCATTCTCTTATATACAGAACCACATTGCCATATTTAACTTCTTCTTGCTTATTATTTTTTCCATCCAATCAATTGTCTTTGTAACATATTTGCCTATTCTCTAAATTTCTGTTCCCACTGTCACTTGAAAGTTCTATAACCTGTCTCCCTACTTTGATATTCTCTCTCTCTCTTTGTCTCTCTCCACACACATATAAATGTAAATAAAAATATACACATAAGTATACACATGTATATAGTCTGGGAGTAGAGAATATAGAGATGTTCTCTCTCTATATATATTTATATGTATATATAAGGGTATGTACACATACCCTTACTGTTAGTGGTTGGGAAAAAAATAAATTCCACCAATTTTCAGACAAAGAAAACAAAATTGAAAATTGTACCCTTTCACTCAATAATATATACACCAAAGGTCCTTAATCTGGTTCCTTGAACTCAACAATGGATTAGCAACATTGAGCTAGTCATTCTTCTCTCCACTTTCTGTTGTTATTTATCTTAGACAGATTACGTAACAGCTTTGTTATTCAGCCATTTCTTTGGATGAGGTAACTGCCTTAACCTAATTTATAGATCTATTATAGAGGATGGTAGATAAAAAATGACTATAAAAAGTGTGGCATTACATAGAGTGATGGTCTTGGAGTCATTAAGACTTAGTTTCAAATCTTTCCTCTGACATTAGTTGTGTGACCTCGATGAATCTCGGTTTCTTCATCTGTAAAATGCGGATACTACCAGTGATACTCACCTCACAGGGCTACTGTGAAGCTCAAATGCCAAAATGCATTTAAAGCCCTACGCAAGCTTTAAAGCACTATCTCAATGTTGCTAATTATTATTAAGACTCTTGACACAAATGTCAGTGCATTGTGCAATGGGACCGGACTCAAGAAGACCTGAATTTAAATGCAGCCTCAGATGTTTAATAGCTATGTGAACTTGGGCACATCATTTAACCTCTGCCTCAATTTCCTTATCTGTAAAATGGGGATAAAAATAGCACCTACTTCCCTGGATTTTGGGAGAATCAAATGAAATGATAATTGTAATGTGCTTAGCTTTATGATTGTTATTGTTATTATTACTAACATTTATATGTTATTGTTATTTAGTCTTTTTTAGTTGTATCTGACTCTTCATGACCCCATTTAGGGGTTTCCTGGCAAAAATACTGGAGTGGTTTGCTATTTTCTTCTCTACCTCATTTTACAGATGAGGAAAATGAGGCAAACAAAGTTAAATGACTTGCCCAGGGTCACACGGCTAGTAAGCATCTGACATCACATTTGAACTCAGGTGCTTCTGATTCCAGGCAGGATACTCTATCCACTTTGCCACCCAGCTGCCAACGATTACTATGTGCCAATCACTGTACTAAGTGCTTTACATTTTTTTTTAATCAAATGCTTTTTTATCCTAAATATTTATGAACTTTCACAAAGATTAGAGAGAAGAAGGCAAAAACTATTTGGCCCAGTTAAGCAACATTTCTTGGGCACACCTAAGGATCAAGATATTTTGTATAATATGCCCACATATATGCCTATAGGAGCCACACTTAAGTTGTTGTTGTTCACTCGTTTCAGTCATGTCTGACTCTTTGTGACCCTATTTGGGGTTTCCTTGGTAAAGATACTAGAGTGGTTTGCCATTTCCTTCTCCAGTTCATTTTTACAGATGAGGAAACTGAGACAAAGAGAGTTAAGTGGCTTGCCCAGGATTACAAAGCTATTAAGTGTCTGAGACTGGATGTGAACTCAGGTCTTCTTGATTCCAGGCCCAGTGCTCTATCCACTGTATAACCTAGCTGCTCCAAACACTTATGTTGCAGATAGTCTACTTTGTCGTCTTTGTTTCATAGCCAAGTGTTTTTGTAGTATCTAGCTACTCCATGCATCTGTGATGTACATAATCAGTACCTTTCACTACAGTCTTGTTCTGACTGGTCTGTGGTGCTGCTGACTCTCCAGGAGCACTCCATTCCCCACCAGCAGAGCCATTCTATAACAGGCAGCAGCCAGTAAACCAGGTTGAGCCAGTGTTATTGTTTGTGCCTACATTTAGGTTCCTAGAATTTTGTTTCCTCCAATGCCACTGGTGCTAAAAAAAAGTGGAAAAGCAGGTCACCTGCTAATGTACATTATCCAGGCCATGGGAAATAAAGAGTAGTACTCAGCCCTATACTGGTCAACCGGGTAGTCAGTGCAGAGGACTTGTCGATTTTCCTCAAGAACGAAATGTGCACATAATTTAGCACAATCCAATTTCCCAAGCTGCAATTCAGACTACATAACACATCTCCTGGTTATCTTCACTATAGATAATAACATAATATATCAAATCAGGCAAAAAATATCTTTCAAGTATACTTGCCATTTTTTAAAGCCCATCTAAAAATAATTATTCTGAATCACTCAAATCACTTTGGCAAATGGTTATTGACACCAGCTCTCTAACTAGAAGCCAATCAATTTTGCTTGTTTTATTTCATTTTAATCTCTGGGGCAGCCTGGCTTACGGGGCAATGTCTTGGTGGTGGAATCAGAAAGACCTGGGTTCAAATGCTGCCCCAGATACTTACTAGCTAAGTTACCCTGGGCAAGTCTCTTAACCCTTTGAAGTCTCATTCTCCTCATTTGTAAGTTAGGGATAATGGAAGCACTAATCTTATAATGTTGCTGGGAGCATCAAATGAGATTCAGGATGTAATGCATTTTGCAGACCCTTAAGTTTGATACAAAAGTGAGCTATTATTATCCTATAAACATTGCTTTTCTATCCAAAACCCACAATGGGGGAGAGATTTTATTTTTGTGGATTTTTGTCCCATAATTAGTTATTAGCTGAAGAAAGTGTCCCAAATAGCACTGTTAGAAAGGGGTAATGCATTTAAACAGTAATGATTTTAAATGAAAAGCAGTAGATTAAAGTGGAAAATCTGGTAGTAATTCTACCCAAATGTTTATATCTTACAATTCAATACCAAGGCTTCATTATGATTAAGGCATTTCCTAGCAAAGAGTAAAGGAATTAATACATATTAAACAGATAATTTTAAAAGATGGCAATAGCTTTGAAAAAAAAATTTTTAACATTTTGTTCAATAGTTTCTACCATACTCAGACACTAGGTTAAGCAGGATCTTGTATTAAAAGGGGGGGGGAGGTTTTTAAATCTATCCAAGAATTCAAAAATCATTCAACCACAGCATGACTGATTTTTAACTCTTACCATGAACTCTTCTAGAGTTTGGTACGTCTTTCCCCGGAACTCACAATAGTTCTTCCTCTCTTTGCACTGAGGACAACACTGGCTGGTATCTACGTGGATGCAGCGAGGGTGGAGTCTTGGGCACTCAGGCTGAATGCACAGCGGTCCCTCCTCAGTGCAAAGGCAAGGGCAGGCTGAAGGGCCAGGAGTAAACTTCTCTCCAATAGCATAAACAAAGCCACTCTCATCCACACAGCCCTTCCCTCGGTAGTCTGGATAGGCATACTCCTCAGGGGGTTCAGGGGTAGCCAGGGCTTCGGGAAGAGATGCATCTTCTGCAGTGAGAGCTTCTTCCTGAACACTATCCCCTGGCTCTTGGGCTTGCAAATTCCCAGGCTTACTGCTCATCCCTTGGCTATTCCAAGTCTGTTTCTGTTTGCTCCAAGACTCTTTGTTGGAATAATTTCGGCTTCCTTTGCTCTTCCCATCCCTGGAGCTGCCCTCCTCCCGCCCATTCCTAGTGATTTCATTCATTTTCCCTGGGCCTGTCTGGCTCTGAGTGTCCCGGGCTGTGTGGTCTCTCTTCTCTTGATTGGTTTTAATCTCCTGTTTGTCCTGAGTCTTGGCCAGTTTTTCCAGAGGTATGGCCGGGCTACAGAGGGCAACCATTAGACAGCATGTTACCAGGAGGGAACTTGAGAGAGCTCCAATTGCCATTGCAGTAGAACTGGGCATCACTTACTGCATCCCAAAGGGGAATGGGGGGGAGGGAGGGATAGCTTCTGCATTCAACATCAAAGGGAATCACTATGTAAATCCACAGTCCCTGAGAAGAAAACAATTAAAGACACTTCAGCCTACAATGTTTCATTCTGCATTCAAAGGATGTCAGTGGCTCTTTAAGGCCAAGCTGTTGCCTATATAGTTAATTACTTCAAATATGTGGACAATCATGGACAAAATAAATAAATAAATAAATAAATAAATAAATAAATAAATAAATAAATAAATAAGGCACTGGCATATTGCAGAATATATTGCCCATCTTGTAATGCCTATCAAAATAAATGTCTCTACAATCAAGTGTGGCTCCTTAAATCCTAACAAAGTCTAGAGTAAACAACCAATAGATGTTTCTCTCTCTCTCTCTCTCTGCCTGTGTGTAGCATGGATTCCATTAATCTATCTTTCTTGTAATCCAAGAAGAGTCTTCTTTTTAAAAAGCAGCATCTGCTAGAGAGTAGGTTTGAAAAGACTTGCAAAATATATGGTGAAAGAAGCAAAGGCAATCCAGGTCCCTAACCCTTGTCCCCAACTGAATTTCTAAGGCTGACCAAAAGTAATTTGAGGTTGCTAGTCAGATGGACATTAAAGTCAAATCAGTATTATGACTGTCACCCCTCAGTCTTCCTCAACAAAAAGGATCTGTCTTAGAGCACTGTTCAGTAGTTGTTGATTTAAAGCCACACACACTTAGGTATGGAATAAATCAGAGAAATTAAATCTTACATTAGGGGCTGACGTAAAGCAGGGCCCCTTCCAATAATTTGATAAATACAGTAACTTAATAATAAATAAACAAGGTTGCTGGTTGTAGTTGTGGGATTTGGGGGTGGGGTGGAATGGGGGAGGAGTGAACTCACTAGGCCTCCATAATGTGCAGCACCCTGGGAAGAAGTCCCTGGACCTCTATTTCATGTGTCAGAAGAGCCCATGCCAAGAATACTAAAAGGACCCACCTCTACCGCTGAACCCTGCCCTCCCTTTATACCTGGCTCTGTAGGCTCATCAACTGGGAGGGAGATGAGGGCAACCAAATCAGTTTCTGCTATCTCTTGCAAGATAAGGCTAAGTGATGGGGGGTGGGGGGGAGGGAAAACACCTAATAAGGAATAACTAGACCCACCTTTCCTGAGGAATGGGGGAGAGGGGCATACAAACAAACAAAATAAAAGTAAGAGGAGAGAGGAGAGCAAAGACAACGATACAACTGTTGTCTTCCCCACACTCATCCGGGGCTTGTAAAAGTTTCTGACTTTTGATGGACGAAATGACAAGGGGTATGGGAAGGAAACCAATACCCACTTGGTTAACCCATTCCGCTCAGAGCGACTGCCCTGACATGTTCCAGGCAGCTCTCGCTCAGCCTTCACTTCCCAGGCAGACCATCATGCTCCTGCCCTTTCCACCCCACAAGCTTGTCTTTCCGGGGAAAAGCCACCCTTATTTACAAAGTTTCCTCGCAGGCCGCGGGGGGAGGGCTGTGGACGCATTGCCAAGTCATAAGAGTGCAATGTAATGGTAACTCAAGAGAAATTTTCCCCGTCCCTGAACCCATCCCCTGTCCTCCCGCCAAGGGAGGCTATACATGCATGCAGACAGACATGCACACATGCATGCATGCATGCATGCGTACATACATGGGCTCCGAGCTCGGGCTAGATCCCTTTAACCCCGCTGGCTCCTGGGATGAAGTCGCAGCAGCTTCCACAGAGCTTCGGCTCCCATACTCCGGCCAGAGAGGGGACCAGCCGCCCCAGGGACCTGCAGAGCAAAAACACAGGGAGCATATCCGCCCCTCAGCCCTCTGAGCATCCGCTGGGCTAAAGCATCATATCTGGAGGCTTTTCCCTTTCCCTTTCTATTTGCTTTTCATCCTGGCCAAAACTCGTAGTAGACACCCCCCTCCCCCAAACAGAAAGAGTCTCCGGAGTCTTCAACGCTAAACGCAGAGCAAGGGGTCCTTCTCAGCCTGCCCCATCCTTGTCTGGTGGGGCGGTGGGCGCTCCTCCCTCTGGGCGGTGGTCTTCTCTCCCTCCCCTAGGCGGCTCTTCCTGGTGCAGGATGCGGGCTGGTTCTGGGATGGCTTCAGAACCTGGGAGTCCGAGATGTCAAGTCCAGCCACTCGGCGGCTTAGGACAGAGCAGAGCGGAGAGCAAACGCTACCAGCCGGGCTTGCCAAGTCAGAGTGAGAGGCCAGAGGGGGAGCTGAAGTCCTTCTGCAACCAGGAGCTAGGGCTGCAGCCACACATCTGGCTGCACCACACTGGTCGCTCCTTCCCCTTCACATGCGCGCGCTCCAGCTGTTCTCCTTATCCCTGCTCTGCCTTCCCTCACGCGTTCTTTCCATCCTGCTTTGGTCGTTCATCACCCCTTCTCGGTATGTACGTGTATGACTCCTCTCTGCTTGTCCTTCACCAGCCCTCATTTTCTGTTGTCATTTTAACCTCTGCCTTTCCTACTTTTATGCTGTCTCTTTAACTCACCTGTCTCATCTCTCCTGTTGCTCTGTCTGTTCGTCCATTTCTCTTCTTGCTCCTCAACACTCCCTTCCACCGCAATCCCCAATCCCTGCTGGTGCTTGTATTTTGTCTCCTTTTGTCAAGCACTTTTCCTCTACTTTTCCTTTCCTCTTAATTTTATCTCATGTCTTTTTTTTTTTTCATTTCCTCCTTCCCTAATGCCCTCCCTTCTTTTCCCTTTCCACTAACACTCCCATCACAGCTTAGCTGGGAAAGACAGACCAAATTACATCCATCTGTAAGTTCCTATGACTTTCTTCGATGAGCTTGTGGGGGATAGGGTTGGAGGTTAAATTTTTATGTTTCTTTACATGCACTTTTCCCTTCCCCCCATCCCCAACTCCTCCTTTCCTATAGAGCCATAAGAGGATTCTGGAACTTTGTAGAAAGCAAATTATATGCACAGACGTTGTATTTTGGGAAGCTGTGCACAGCATTCCTTGTAATAGACTAATTTATTGTTGTTAACTTTGGTAGGCAGGGGAGTTTGTTTGCTGACAATAATGTGTTTGGGAGATATTTTTGGAACCTGTTGTACGTTCAATCAGATTGCCACATGCCTTCCATAACTTAGAAAGAAGCAACCATCCATAAACAATTTCACACATACACACACATAAAAATTAAGTTATTACAAGCAGGGCTAGTTATCCTTTATGGCTGTGGCTTCTTCATGCCATCTACACCATTTTATACAGGTGAATTCCATTAAGATTAATAGAGTGAGAAATCCTTGAAAACAAAAAAAGAAGTTCCCTGAGAAATATGTTCAGCTTTCATTCTTTTAACTTCTTCACGATAGGGTAGAATATTATAAACTAATATTTAGATGATCTTCAAGTCTTCTTTTCAGCACTGCTTTTTGCTTTGCTCCCTTTGCTGAGTCACTGGAGTACACTGCCCAGTGGGTAGGGGTGGGTGGGGAGTTGCAGGGATGGAGGAAGAGGAGGTGAGGACAGGGTGCTATGGCAACCAGGAAAGACCTGGGTTTGAACCAACCTAGCAGTTGTATGACCATGAGCAAACCACATAACCTTTATAACTCTCAGTTTTCTTATCTGTAAAACAGGAAAAATACCTGTAGTGCTTACTCAATAGGGTTGTTATATCAAATAAGTTAATATTTGTACTATGCTTTTCAAATACTGGAGTATTATATAAATGTTAGCTTTTACTTTGTTTCAGTAGAATGTAAATTCCCCTGAGAGCCAGGACTATTTCATTGTGTTCTTTTGGATTCTCAGTACCTAGCATAGTAGGTGGTTAATAAATACACTTGTTGAGTTTAGTTACAGGAGGGGTAGTTGATTTTGATAACAGATAACATCTGTTCACCTTAGTATTCATATGAAATAAACACAAAACATCTTATGTAATGTATGAGGGGCAAAGGGTTATAAAGGCAACTTAGGGCCATGAGCCTCAGTAACTCAGTTCGACTTCTAATTTGGTGGCTTCCATGATGTGTGAACATGGATGAGTCAATTCACCTTTCTGAGTCCCAGTTTCCCTCATTGGTCAAATGGAGATATAAGAATTGCCCAACCCATTTCACCGAATTGCTGTGAGAAAAGTATGCTACAAAACAGAAAGAACTATGTAGTAAAAACTCACTTTTCTATAGGATTTTACAAAATGTTTTCATCACAATAGCTCTGAAAGGCACGTAGTAAAAGTTTTGCCATTTATATTTTACTGATGAGGAAACCAAGAAAAAAGTAACTAATGGTTGGGCAGCTCCTAAGCATACTACTCATGGCTCTTCCTGGGCCTCCACATTCTAGGTTTGCTGCTTTTTCCAATGGCCCACAATGCCTCCTTGTCATGATGAGCTGACAGTTAACAGAGACTTCAGCATCACAAACCACTTTATGTATACTAGCCCATTTAAATTATCATTTTGGCTATATTTTCAGTGGAAAAATTTGTAAATTTTCTAATTAGGGGAATGGAAATGATGTCTCTTTATTAATTGTATCTCATAATAATAGAATAAATAATACTTAGCTCCATCCAACCAGTGGTCACAGTGGATAGTCATGTATATGGGTCAGTATCATAGCTGGCAAGTGAGGAATTAAAAAGATTAGGAACTAATTATGCTACCAAATGTCCAACTACGTGCTTTACTCTGAAGGATATTCAACTGGAGATGGCATGAGAGGAAAAAGAAGACATTGAGGAGGAAGTATAAGAAAAACTCCAGGGAAAATTTCAGAAATGTTTGTCTTGGGAGATAAACACTGCACTAATACAGCCACAATTATCTGAGAAATTTGGGAAAATAGGCAATTTTTGCCATCATTAGTGGAATTGGATAGAAAAATGTCTTTGTCATTGTGACACCATATTTATTATTTTCTTTCCTCATATGACAATTCAGCTTTCTTCTAAGGATGCTGGTGGTATATAGTACATCCATATTACAAACTCCATATCATAGTTTCTTACTAATTGATTTCTTTGTATGAGCAATCTGTTAGCCAGACTGTTACCTGAAACATAAATACAGTCATTGAAATTCTGCTAGAAGGTGGTTAGGCCCAGCGGCAGCTCTAGGCAAAACTGCAAATCAATAGTAGTCTCCCTTCAGTGGTATTTGACTCCCCTTTCCCCACTAGGCCTCTCCATTTTTTCCATTCATTCAATTTGATAAGCATTTATTTATTAAATGCCTACCTAGTATGAACAAGGTCCTAAGCCAGATCCTGGGCATACAGGAAGGAAGAAATAAGAGAAACCTTACTTGTCTCAAAGAGTTGGGATCTTGTAAGGAAGGAAATGAAAATTCCTGGAACCCAGGGAACATTTCAGAATCATATTCATTCTATTCACTCTCTACTCCCATCCCATTGGAGCCCACTCCACCCCTACAACCCAACACAGAGACACACCCACCTGGAATCCAATATCTCTTTGGTGGTTCCTGGTTATTAAAAGTAATTCTGTGATTCCTCTACCCTGGTCCTCCCAGGAAGTTCCTTATGTTCCAAAATTAGATCTCTCCTTCTCACACCCAACTCTTACCTAATTTCCCTTTCTTTCATGGACCTGGTCCTCAGCTTGAAAGTATTTGATCACCTTTGAATGCAGATTAATTTGAAAGTACGTAATAGCCAATGTTCTTGAACTTAAACAAGGTATAATAATAATAATAATAACAATAAAGTGGGTCTGTCTCTGACCTTTCTTTGAGACTCTAAGCTCCATGAGGACAGAGACTAAGCTTTGTATCTCCTTACCCAGTACTCTGCACATAGTAGGCACTTAGATGTCTCTTTAGTAGATGAATGAATGAATGCAAAAGAAAATGCCTAATGATAACAACTAGTATTTATATATCACTTTAATGTTTGCAAAGCTGGTGAAAGATATTGTGAGCCAGTGAGACTTCTAGAAACCATTCTGGTCACTAAGTGATTGACTACTATTCAGATTTTCAAAAGGATCTGTGACCCAATCCATTTGGATATTTCATCCAACAATGAAGCTTAAAACCTATCCATGTCTGCCCAAGGTATGTGACTCTTATTCATGAATTCACCCTTTGGGGTCCTCCCAGTGTGCCAGAGGTCTTCTTCAATTTCACTTGACTTTATGAGGACACCAGTGGAAGACTGGTTATCCTTCTGCCATCCCTCAACCTCACCACTTGAACAGCTCATTTTTTTCTTCCATCTCATGACATCTTTTCCTCCTTTCTTCTTCAGAGTTCTTCATGGATTTTATGTTGGCTGATATCTGCTCACGTTGCCTACATGTTTCTCCATTGCTCTCTGTGTGACTGTCATTTTTATTTCTTCAGGGGCTGTCATATTCCATGTATCATTGCCGTGCAGCAACACTGGTAGAATGGTGAAATTTTAAAAAATGGGTCTTTGTTTGTAGGAAAAGTTTGATGTTATTGAAGGAGCTTTACAGTTTCCTGAAAAAAATACAGCTCACCTCCCACCTCTTGATCAACTCTATTGAAAAGGCCAAGGTCCTCCACTATATCCTAGGCCATCTCCGATTGTCCTGATCCATATCTGGCCACTAGACCCAGATGGCTCCAGAGGAGAAAGTGAGGCTGGTGACTTTGCACAGCCCTCCCTCACTTAAATACAATTCACTTGCAGGTCATAGCATCATCTCCATGATGTCATGATCCTCTTGGATCAGGAAGGCCAAACAGCAACCTCTGTGAGTACAGAAGGAGCTGCCCACTAGGGAGCCAAATTTCCAGTTGGGCCACAAGGCTTCCTTCTTTCCTTCTTTCCTTCTTTCCTTCCTTCCTTCCTTCCTTCCTTCCTTCCTTCCTTCCTTCCTTCCTTCCTTCCTTCTTTCCTTCCTTCCTTCCTTCCTTCCTTCCTTCCTTCCTTCCTTCCTGCCTTTCTTCTTTCTTTCCTTCCTTCCTTTCTTCCTTCTTTCCTTCCTTCCTATCTTTCTTTCTTCCTTTCTTCCCTCTCCACATAAGGTATCACGCCCTTATCTGCTAGTTCTCTGCCCAAAGGGAATGTAAATTTTAATCTCTGAAACTTCTTTTCTGTTTTTTTTTCTCTTATAAAGCACCCTTAACCCAAAATCACTCTGGTCCCAGATTAGTCACTGTTTGGGCCCTGATTGGCTCAGAATGAATGCAAATAATAATTGTTTCTGTTTTGTCCAGAAATCCTGAGGGTCTTCCC